AATTTAACTTCCGGATAACCACCTCTTACTAAAGATTGGATGAGAAACTACTCACTCTTCATAGCTTTGTTAAAACTAGAAAAGTGAGTGATGCTCATCCCTCCAAGTAGAGGAGTTACAAGGTAACACATTTTACACAAGGAGCCGATCTTCGACAAAGAATGAGTGAATCACGTTCCACCCTTCACGGCTTTGGTAAAGCTCTAGAAAAGTGGAAGAGTTTCACTCCTCTAAGGAAGAAGGAAGCTCAAGCAATGGAAGTAAAAGAAAGCAATAACACAATAAAAGAAAGCAATACTTAAAGTAAAAGAAAGCAATAAATTAAAAGGAAGCAAGAATACAATAAAAGAAAGCAATACTTAAAGAAAGCTATAAGCAATAAGGAAAGCAATAATACTTTTGGAGGGTTTTCCACTACCAAAAGATGAATGCTTTACAAGTTCTAAGGGGTGGTATTTATAGGCAACAAGGGAGGGTGAAAGTCTTGTTAGGTGGCCTTGAATCTTGTTAGGTGGACTTGAAGAGTCTTGTTAGGTGACTTTGAATCTTGTTAGGTGGACTTGAAAATCTTGTTAGGTGGCCTTGAATTCTTTGATCCTCCTTTGTTTTGAGCTTTGATAATTGGCACCCCATTAGTTTGTAGCTTTAATGCAATTGGCTCCCCAGTAGTTTGTAGCTTTGACGCACAAAATCCTGAAAAGAACAACAATTAATGCATTATCCTTTATTCACACACTAATTCTAATTTGATTTATTTTGACTAGTTTAACTTTATTCAACTAACACAATTTACCTATTAAATTATGCCTTAATTAGGGTTAATCATTAAGAAATCAGAATGTTTAGTGTTCTTACCATAAAGATATTGATCATCTCATAGAAGATTGTCAAGTCTATAAGTATTTCTTGGAAAGACATGTGAAAGGAGGGAATCTTGGCAAGTTCATTGATGATGAAGCCTCTACAGAGGAGGGTCAAGCGACAATTACGACAGGAAACTCTATTACAGTGATAGATGTCATCCACACTTGCCCTCTGGAAAGACCCACCACCAACACGCTCAGAGCCGATCTAAAAAGGGTGGCCCTCGCCCAAAAAGTGGAAGACAACAAGATAAAGGTACAACCAGCTAAGAAATCTCAAATCAAAGCAACCAACATCACCTTCTCAGACGCCGATCTTGCTGGGGTTGTATTTCTGCATGACGACGCATTGATGGTCAATCTGAAAATATCAAACTTCGACGTCAGACGTATCTTGATTGATTTTGGAAGCTCATCGGAGGTCATGTATAAGAATATGCTGCACAAGAAAGGGCTTGATCCCAAAGACCTCACTCGGGTGAAGACCCCCCTCGTCAATTTCAACAAGTCATATGCACTTCCACTTGAGAAAATTACTTTGTCAGTCACAACGGGGTCAGTCACTCTTTAGATAGAGTTTGTGGTCATTGACTCTAACTCTCTATATAACGCGATCATGGGATGGATGTGGTTGCACACGCTCAAGGTAATGCACTCGTCCTACCATCAGAAACTAAAGTTCCCAACCCCGAAGAGGGTTATGGAGTTCTTCGGGAATCAAGCCTCATCGAAAAGTTGTATCTACGCTATAGTGAAGTTGAGGTTGCCTCGAAGGGAAAGAAGACTGACCCCAAGACTATTCTAAATAAATAACAATCAAGGTTTGGGTGGTGGGGCATCGACGAACCTCCCAGCTGACCGCTCAACTGAGCACTTGAGAACAGTGTACGTGAATCCAAGCGATGAAGAGCGATTTTCCCATTTGGCTCCCTGATGACCCCAGAAGAGCAGGGTGAAGTGGTAGCCTTCCTATGGAAGAACATAAACGTGTTTGTATGGGTCCCCTCTGAAATGAAGGGCATAAGGCCCGAGATTATTAGCCATCGATTACATGTGGACCTAACCTTCAAACCTGTCAAATAAAAATAATTTTGCTTGGCTTTGCACCACGTCCAATCCGTGAATGAGAAAATAGACCAGCTCTTGGAGGTCGACACAATTCGATAGGTGTAATTCCCCGCATGGCTCTTGAATATAGTATGTGCAAAGAAAAAGAATGAGAAGTGGTGCATTTGCATTGACTTAACAGATCTAAACAAGGTTTGCCTAAATGAAAACTATCCATTCCTAAAGATGGATCAACTGGTGGATGCAACAGTGGAACGAGTGTATGCATTCATGGATGCCCAGAAGGATACAATCAGATCCCATGACATCCCTCAAATTAGGAGAAAATGATATTCATCACCCCTTAGGGTGTATTCTGTTATAAAGTCATGCCATTCAGATTAAAAAATGTGGGAGCAACCTACCAAAAATCAATGAACATGATGTTCAAGTGACATATAGGGTCTATCATGGAAGTTTACTTCAACAACATGCTCATCAAGAGCAGGTGTCGAGAGGATCACCTAAAAGATTTGGAAACTACCTTCCAAACACTTCGAGAATGTGGGTTAAAGCTAAATGCGGCTAAGTGTTCCTTCAAAATTAGCTCGGGGAAGTTCTTAGGATATTTGGTCACTCAAGGTGGCATCATAGCTAATCCCTAGCAAATATAGGCCATCCTGAATGTTACAAGGTCGAAGATGGTCAAAGACGTACATATGTTACGGGGACTGCTCGTCATGCTCAACCATTTCATCTCTTATTCCTCAACCATCTCAGTTTCTCTCCCACCCTCTCTATCCTAGACAATGGGGAAACCTTGTTCCTCTTCTTGTCGGTGTTAGAATTCGCGGTTAGTGAAGGCCTAGTCCGAGAATGTGAGTCCGATCAAAAACCCTTCTACTATGTCAGTAAGGCATTGTTGGACCTTGAGACGAGGTACCTTTCATTGGAGAAGGCAGTGTTGGCATTGATCACCACGATAAGGGAACTAAGACACTATTTCCAAGCCCACCCGATCGTGGTTTTAACTAGTCAACTACTGAAATCCATCCTCAGAAAGGCCAGCCTATTTGGAAGAATCACTAAATGGTTGTTGAGCTAGGAGAATATGATGTTCATTACAAACCTAGGACGACAATCAATGGTCAGATCCTCACAGATTTCATTGTCGAATTTAATCTCGTAGAAACTCATCTCGGTGAGCTACCTGCCACGGAGGACACCAAAGTCGGGCTATGGAAGCTATATATTAACGGATCTTTGAACCAAGGATCTGGATGACACTAATCTCCCATGACAGATATGCTATAGAGCAGGCTATGAGCCCTACCTTTGGAGCCTCAAACAATGAAGTAGAGTAATGAAGCTCTTCTTTCGGGGCTTGGACTAGCCTGTGCCACCAGAAAGCAATCCAGTGGTATCTTACGATTCATAGTTGGCTATCAATAAAGTAAATGGTGAATTGAGACCCAGAACCTCAGGATAAAGGTATACCACCAAAAGGCATTCGCAATGATTTGAGAGTTTTAGAAGGTGGAAGTCATCTAGATGCCCAGAGATAAGAATTGTAACGTTAATGCATTGGCTTGCCTGGCCTCGACTCTCAACTTTGAAGTGACGAGGAGAATTATAGTGGACTATCTTCTAATGTCGAGTATCCTAGAACACTTGGAGGTACTCTTGATTAGTTTAGATGGGGGCACCCCCAATTGGATGGACCTCATTATCAAATATTTAATGGTCGTGGAACTCCCGAGTTGTAAGAAGGAGGCCCGAAAGAGTAAGTTGAAGGCACCAAGGTTTTGGGTATCACTCGACCGACAGCTTTATCAGAAGTCATTCTCTAGACCTTACCTGCACTGCATACCATAGGATAAGACCCAACCCTTGTTATATGAGATCCAGGAGGGCATATATGGGATGGGGCACATGGACAGTAGATATATGGTTCATCAGACAATGTCGCAAGGATATTGGTGGCCACATATTCAGAAAGATGTATAAGAAACTTTTAATGGGAACGAAATCAATCAATGAAGGGAGAACTTTTAAGAGGAAGAAGAAGTAAAGAGCGATGGGAGTTCTGTTGGAATAAAAACTTGCGATAAGTGCCAGAGACATGCACCCATCATTAGGAAACTTGCTCGAGACCTAAATCCACCAACTACCACATGTACCCATCGTTAGGAAACCTGCCCAAGACCTAAATCCACTAACTAGCCCTTGGTCGTTCACCTAGTTGAGGCCCAACATAGTTGGCCCTCTGCCAAAGGCTCTGGCTGATAAGAGATTCCTCTTCATCAACACCAAATATTTCACAAAGTGGGTGGAGGTTGAACCCTTCACACACATTCGAGATACTGACATCAAGAAGTTTGTATGGAGAAACATAGTAACGCAGTTCGAGATACCCTAGGCCATAATCTCAAACAATGGGACCCAATTCAATAATCGACCCTTTAAGTCATTTTTGTGAAAATTTAGGGATCAGGAACTACTACTCGACTCCCGTCTTCCCTCAGTGCAATGGACAGACCGAGGCATCCAATAGAATAATAGTCATAGGGATCAAGGAGAGGTTGGAAAAGGCAATGGGAAGATGGACGAAGGAACTACTCAACATTTTATAGGCTTATCGAATACCCCGGGATCTTCCATAGAGGAAACCCCATATGCTCTGGCATACGGGGTGGAGGTAATGATACCACTCAAGATTGGCCTCCCAACCATAAAGACCCAAGCCTTTGATATGGGGATGAATGATCAACAACTAACTAGGGACCTTGATCTCGTCGAGGAGAAGAGATAAATGGACACTATATGACTCGAGCAGTACCAAGGTGACTTCACCAGGCATCACAACAAGAAAGTTCTTTCCCGAGAGTTCCAAGTGGGTGATATGGTACTTAGGAAAGTGGTCGGAAATACATGCGACCCAACTGATGGTAAGTTGGGACCCAACTAGAAAGGCCTTACCGAGTAGTTACGGTCGAAAAAGTAGGATCCTACAAGATAGAAGACCTTGAAAGAATTACTGTACCTAGACTGTGGAATGTAACAAAACTTGAAAAGTATTATTATTGAAAGGATTTTCTTTGAAAAAACTTGTTCCCAATATGTATGGGGGACACGACCTAGGGATGAGCTTCATAATGAAAGCTCCCAAAATCATCCTAGGGATTGGCCTCAATAGGTGGGCATGGCCTCGGGCCAAGGACTTCGCATGCGAAGATGCCTTCGTCCCAAAGAGATCCATTGGTAATGAGACTTCCCGACAAGGGGCAGGGCCCCGAGACAAGGACTTTGTAGATGAAGATGCCTTCATCCTAAAGAAACCTACGGGAATGAGACTTCTCGCCTAGGGTGCATGTTCCCGGATAAATTCGTGGGAATGAGACCACCCACCAAAGGATGTGGCCCCCGAAGAAGGGTTCTATAATGGCATACGAATATCTCCCGAGCATATCAATGGGAATAAGCTATTCCCGCCGACGGACTACAACTCCAAACTAAGGATGCAATCCTACAACAAAATTTCAAGACTTTTGCAAAATATTTCATAGATTTTTTCAAAAAGGGCTTTGCATCCCTTGAAGCATAACAAAAAAGGGCATCAAAGGACCTCGAAGAAAAATTAATAGTAAGAGTTTTATCAATTTTTAGCATCATCCCCAAGTAGAACCTCGATGTCAATCGAGAGGTTTTTGACTGGATCGAGTTGCATGACATTGTCGTCATTTGGAACAATGGAGTCGTCTAGGGGAGAATAGGAGAGGTTTCAATAGGCGGTAGGATCTGAGGCGTCAAGGGAAGGTTGGTAGCCACATTGCCTCCTTCTACCTCACCTTCTCAGGAGCAGGAGTGTACTTGTGCTGTTGCAATAAAGGGAATTCAAGAACGATCCCTACGCCTTAAGAACAGCATCCCACCCTTCTTTGAAGGTCTTCTTCTTAACCTCCTCAAAGACCGCCAAAACATCTTCCTCTTCCCTCTTGGATACCTTCTCCAACTCAGCCCTAAACTTCTCAACCTCCTCAATTACAAGGGCATAGTTCTTCTCGGTCTTGAAAAGCTTCTCCTTGGTTGAGAACATCTTCAACTTCACCTCCGTCATCCTTTTCTCGACATAGGCAACGAACTTTTGTCTAGTTATTTGGATAGCCCTTCACCCTCTGTTAAAAATCAAGTGATCTATGCCGTCTGGGTTTCCAGTGTCTTTTCCAGCATTCTCGCTTATAAGCCGTCATGCCCAGAAGCGGCCGATGATAAATGACATTTGTTATGCCGACTACAATGATACAGGGGTGAAACATTGAAAACTGCGATACCAAGGAGGAAACTAAGGTACTTACCACCAAGGAGTTTTAGATCACATTCTATAGCAGCCTATTGTTAGAGCGGTCATGATGTTGTTATGACGTCTCAACAATCTGGGGGTCCTTTCCCAACCAGTTGACCTGCAGAAGCTTTCGTGAGTACCGTATAACCTGATACCACATTGTTACACCCCATTCACCGAGATCATAACTAAAACAAAGTTTGAATAGAGTTTCCTTTGTACTAGAGCACTGCCCAACACATAACCTATGCACATATTAACCAAATGACTACTCCAAGGTCCAAACCCCATAATATAAGATTATTATTATTCATTTGCATCATCCCAAAAAGTGTGCTTAAGATGTAAGGGCTGCTTAGTGTTTTATTTTTAAAATTTCAGTTTAGGAAAAGGTATCGGTACCTAGGTCTCTGGTACCAGTACCCCGATGGATAGTGGGCTTAAGTACTGGTACCTATGGAACTTGGTACCGGTACCTAGGCACACTGTTTGCTAGGTACTAGTACCTATGTGTTCTGGTACCGGTACTTGAGCCCACTGTCCGTCGGGTACCAGTACCTAAGTCCACTAGAACCCAGGTACTGGTACTTGTAAGCCTAAGTACCGGTACCTCGATCATCTGACAGCGTGGTACCGATACCTGCAAACTTAGGGACCGATACTAAAGCCCAAACTTTTCCCAAATCTTTCCAATATTCAACTCATCTCTTATAAACTCATACCTTGTTCATCATTCATTCATTTACATAAAAAATAATGTCCAAAAGAATTCATTACATATCCCTTTTTAACCATTTATAAGTTCAAAACAAATTAAATAATTGATTTACAAAATGTAATTCTAAAGCCACATTCTGGATCCTTCATCAACAAGGGCCCAAGTGAGGGCGTCCATCGACATTTGTCCAACACCTGAAATATGTTAGCATAAAAGATTCGTCACACTCAATCACCTAAGGAGGCTACTCCTAAACGCAGATACATATGAAATGTCACATACAATTCATTACATAATCATTCATTCCAGAATGTACATTTCACAAATGAATGTCACAATGCCATGTCATGTCATGAGGTGAAATTCACTCATGTAATGCAACTTGAGCCCTCCACCGGCTCCCATAACACATACAATATCATATGTATGTATCTAGCATTCCAAGTTCCCTCCACTGATATTAGACATCTAATGACCATTTTTGTAAAATCTTGGACTTTTCTTAGGTCGATATTTATTGACTTCCACCAACAGGTACCCAACCGATACGGTATCTATGGACTTTCACCAACGGCTCTGCGTATGCCGACACACTTTATGAGCTCAACACCAACGGAAGTGTGTATTCAAAATTACTGGGTATTGCACCCAAGGGAGAATCTAGTCTTTCTTGCTAATCTTGACCCTTGATTTCAATGTAACATGTGCAACTCAGTCAAACCTAGGTCCAACCTTCCCGAGCCCATGTATCAACCCACCAAGGATGGTGTTTAATCATAACCATGCACACACACCCACACATGTCAATGCCCATGAATGCGATGCTACCCTATATAATTATAATTACAATATCATGTTCATCATATCATGAGCATATTATGAATACATTCAATCTCCATAAACATTTTTAATTTCTCAATATAAATTGTATCATAAAGCATATAGTTACATTCCAAAATCTCCACAAACCATATTGTATCTTTTTCATTTAAATAACATACTCAATCATTTATGGGCATTTTATTGAATACCTATAAGGCACAAAAATTATGTAAACACATAGCATGCCTAAAACATCACATTCTTCATGAAATCCACAACCAAGCAATTTCACCAAAACCAAATCAGGTAAGATTTGGTTTAACAATGTTACATATACCCATTTCCATTTTCTAACACTCTAGGCATGTGTTATACATGAGATTTCATCTCTAACATCATTACCCATTTTATATTTCTACCCTATATTGGAAATAACCCTAATTAGGAAAGGAACCCTACCTATTGTAGTGTATGCGTAGAAGATGCTCCAAAAGACCCAAATCAATCTTTCAAGATTTGATCCCAAAAGTCTTACATTCGAGATTCTGGCGAAACCTGCAATCTTTGGTATGTACGCGTAGCTCTCGTCGCGTAGAACAACTTTAGTTCTTGGCTTGAAAAATTCGAAGTTGGAAGAATCATTGGCTTTCTCTCTCTTCTTCCTCTTTCCTTTTTTTTTGGAAATTTCAGGTGTAAAGTGAGGAGCAAATCTAATTTTCTTCCCTATTTATACCCCTCAAATACTTGGCTCTCATTAAGCCAAACATCCTATTTTTTTTATCTGATTTTATTCCAATTCAATTAAATCTTTTCATGTTTTAAGTTTATAAAATTATGGAACTAAATTTAAATTATTTCCTGGGTTCCACAAATAAAATCTGACCGCGTTCATTTAGTTGCACGACACTCGACAGCCTCGTAGAACGCAAAAAAATTTGATTGTCTCAGAATTTGACGAAAATTAACTGGGCAATTAGATTTCGATAGACTAATCCAACGGTGAGGTTTGTTTTTTCATCTAAGCTCTAGAAATATTAGGGTTTTTAACCCGTATAGTAACGACTAATTACCATTTTTTTCCCTTTTTCATGAAATTTTAATTTTTCTCCCTTAAAACAATTTTGTCCCCGAAATTACACACACATGCACATATAACAGCATACATATGAAACAAGTCATATAACACTCTATGATTACAAGAAATGTACACTCATTCTCAAACAAGAGTGGATAGGTAGCACGGATAGTATCCCTATGCTCCCATGTCACCGCCCCCATATCGCGGTGCTGCCACAACATATTTATCAACCTCACAGTCTTGCCTCACAAAACTTACTCTCTACCATCCATGATACGCACCGACCCTCCTTGAAGATTCCTTTTGCATCAATAATCTGCTCACCTCAATCCCTCACATGTGTAGGATCTATAGTATATTTTTGGAGCATAGAGACATAGAACACTCGATAGATTTAGTGATAACGTTAACCGATAAACAACTGTACCAATCCCCTTGAGTACCTTGAAGGGCTCGATATACCTCAGTGACAGCTTTTCTCACTTCCTGAACGTGACCACTTCCCTATTAGGCATAACCTTCAAGAAGAAGTGATCTCCAACCTCGAACTCTAGAAGTCTCCGTCGTCTGTCGGCATAACTCCTCTACTGATTTTATGCCGTAAGAAGACGCTTTCGTATCAAATCCACCTTTTCTGAGGTGTCTCTGATCAAGTCCGAAGCTATGGAGGGTCCCTCTCCAACCTCCATCCAACAAACTGAAAAACGACACGGCCTCCCATAAAGTGCCTCATAGGGTGCCATTTGTATGCTCACCTGGTAACTATTATTGTAGGTAAATTTTACTAAGGGTAAGTGCTCCTCCTAGCTAACCTTGACATTAAGGACGCGTGTCCGAAGCATGTCCTCTAAAGTCTGGATGGTCCTCTATGACTGACCGTCCGTTTGGGGATGAAAAGCTATGCTCATCACAACTGTATCCCTATGTCTCGCTGAAAACTTTCCTAGAAGTGAGTAGTGAACCTGGATCCCAATTCGATATAATAGATATGGGTAATTCGTGCAACCAGACTATCTCCTATATGTACAACTTGTAGAATTCCTCTAGGGTGAAGGTCAACCACATAGCCAAAAAGTGTGCCAACTTCATAAGCCGATCAAGACACCCACACCGCGTCATACCCCCGTGAAGTCTGTGGTAAATAGGTCACAAAATCTATAGTGACATGTTCCCACTTCCACTCAGTCACCTCTAATGGCTGGAGCAACTTTACCGGTCTCTGGTGCTCCGCCTTGACCTGTTAATACGTGAAACATCTGCTAATAAAGTCTCCAACATATCTCTTAATCCCACTCCAATAATACTGGTGGTGAAGATCGTGGTACATCTTCGTAACACCTGGGTGTACAACAAAATGGGAACAATAAAACTCCCTGAGGATCTCCTCTCTTAGATCCATAGATTG